TTTATTTGCACCAAAGAGGATTTTCTGTGGCAGCAGAGTAATGCTCCCAAACGTGTCTGATGGACCCTGCTCTGCTGGCCCCAAGGCAGCCAGGAGAGCTGCTGAGAGCCCGCAGTGCTGGAATGGCTGGAGATGTTTCCTGCAGCCCAACCCGCTGCTCATTGCCCTGGGGAGAACCCGAGTGTGCACATCTTCCAAGCATCAACAGTATTATCTGTGGGGAAGTTCTGTACTTAGAGCTGGACTTTAAGGTCAGAAGGGACACTGCTGGCACCAAGGGGACTGGAAAAACCCTTCCTCAGGCCAGCAGCCTTAGAACTGCTCATTTTGACGTTGTATGAAAATGAAGGAGCCCAGGCAAGGAGAGTGGTGACAGGATGTGGAAAGGCAGGGGATTTCCCCAGTGGTCCTGCAAACTCAGAGGGCTGCATGGACTTTTCCATGTTCTGGCAACAGAGGGATGGTGGCATGGGCTGTTTTTGGCTTTTGTTCATTGCTGAGTTTCTATTTCTTGTGCCCTGCAGGGAGATGAACCGGAGGCAGACATACGAACAGGCCAACAAGGTCTTTGACAAAGCCATGAAACTCGAGCAAGAATTCGGAGAGTATTTTACAGGTGAGCATCCCGAGTGCATTTGTGTGGGATGGTTTGCCTCTTTCCACTTGGCAGCTGTGAGCTCCACCAGCACTGCAGGGTCATGAGAAAATGTCCAGCTCCATCAAAACGAAACGGCGCTCTGCCAGCACGGCCGCACAAAGGGCCCGTTCAGAGATCACTGGATAAGAGTAAGCCGGGTCTAGAGGAGGGCAGAAGTTGTCAGGCAGGATTTTCCAAGGTTGTGAAAGCCTAACGCTGGTTTCAGTAATAGTAATGAAAATGAAAAACACAAGAGGTAGGGGAAGCACAGTGTAGATCAGTGGATAACTGAGAATGAGAGGAGGGTCGTGTTTAAAGAGGAAAGGTCAGAACGAGGGACCCAAATGATGGAGGCTGCCCCGAGTTATTATGAAACATCTTCCATAAAGCACTGGAAGTTTGGCTGGCTTCCTGAATCTGTGTTGAAGAGCAGTCGAGGGATGGACTCACGACAGAGGCATCCTTGTGCGTTAAGGAACTAACGTTTGCAGTGTGATTAATGCTGGAAAATCATGGGCAGGCAAAGAGGCAGAGCAACTCATCTTCCATCTTTGCCCCCTTTGTGGTAATTGCGTCCTCCAAAGCCGAGGAATGGTAATCCTGCTAAATGCTGCATTGCTCACCTAACAGCTACTGTAAAAAATCCCAGGCAGAACATTTTCCAAATACGGATCGCAGCTGAGAAAATGCAGCAGTACAAACAGTGTGAGAGCCTTCCCCAGAACTCTGCCTTGGGCAGCGCTTCCAGAGCTGCAGGCTGCTCCTCCAGGAAGAGCAAACACAAAGGAAATGTGCACTGCAGTCCTGCCAAACCCTCAGCACGCCATCGTCAGCCTCACGTGGCCACTGAGGCTTGAGGCTGACCTGGGGAAGGAATGCTCTTGGCTGAAACCCAGCCCGGTTGAAAGGAGTCTGTAATGGGCAGCGAGGTGAATGCTGTAGGAAATGCTGTGCCAGGACCTTACAGTGAGGCACTGGAGCATGGTGCTGGCTTGGCTACAGGCTGAGGGACCAGAGAGCTGTGGTCCATTTCTTGATGTAGGAGAGACGCAGAAGCCTTTTGTGTTGCGTCCACGCTCAGCAGCAAGGTGCTGGGAAAGCACTGCTGCAGGAGCAGCAGCCAGGAGTCGCCTTTTTCCAGCACGGCAGCGCTGTCATGAAGCACAGAAGCAACAATCAGGAGCTCAGCAGGGGAACGGATCTGGGTGGGCGAATCCAGCACGCGAGGGTCCGGCGCTTGGCTCCAAGTGGTGGGGAGGGGGGAGGCAGTGAGCACGGAGCAGAGCTGCAAGTTCACACCCTGCCCTGGGCCCACTGCCCGGAGCTCAGCGGTGCTGGGACGCGGCTCACAAAGCTGATTAGCAGCGTTGTGCAGAGCCTGGCTGGCACTTCACACCGCCAGCAGCTCCGCTAATCCCCTGGGACGCCCTGCATTAACCCTCTGTGTCACTGCGTGCCCCTTCAGCTCCTCCGACCAGGCTCTGCATTCCCTGTTATCGGCCCCTTTGCTGCAGCGAAGGTCTTTCCATTGCGGGTGGCTTTGCTCAAGGTGTTTTATTTTCTCTCCTCTTTCAGCCATCGTACAAGGAGACTCTCTGGAAGAGATTTACAGCAAAATCAAACAGATCATCGAGGACCAATCCGGGCACTACATCTGGGTCCCGTCCCCAGAGAAGCTCTGAAGCTGTCCCCTACCTGCGGGGACCATCTCTGACGTCCCACCCCACCTGTGCCCTCTGCCCTAAGGGGGGGGGATGTGCAAACGATTCCTGCCCCCTTTTTTTAGATCGTCGCAAAATTGAGTTTTCTAGTCCTGTTTCTTTTGTTGGGATGAACTGATCTCATTCATCACGTGACTGTTCCCACCATCCCTGCATGGACCTTCCCACTGCTCCATTAGAGACAGATGAGAACCCATTCAAGAGTCGTTTTTTATTATTATTATTATTATTATTATTATTATTATTAACTAAACCAAGAATCCAGAAGGGAGGAGGCGGCTGAGGACTGACATAAGAAACAAGTGGAACAATGGACTCTGAGAACACAGCAGTGTCAGAGCTCCAGGGCATTTCTTCCAGGTGTGACTGCCTAGCAGCTCTGAGCAGTGCGACAGAACGGCAGCAAGAAGGCATTTTATTTATCTGTATATGTAATTTATATATAATATAGAGAAAGATATTATATATATATTATATATATATATCCGTGTGGACTAGGAAACCTGAGGGACCTCTTCAAAGGTACTGTGTGAGTGCAAGGATCTTTCAGTTTCTTTGTCCCACCCGCTGAGCAGAAACGATCCTGGCGGCACCACGAGCATCTCCTGCTGCCCTGCCAGCAGCCCCCAGGTTGGGGAGCAGCACAGAGCCCCCCAGAAGGGCCCGGAGCTCTGGGCTGACCCAGGAGCCACAGACTGAACAGGAGGCTGCGGAGGGAGAGAATGGATGATGCTACATATTAAATTGCACATTGTTTTACACGCCACCGTATGTGTTTGCATGAAAGGTTTCCTTTTAGTTCTATTTTTTTAAGCTGATGTTAAACCAAAACCATATTGTGTTGCTGTGTTGGCTTTTTTTTTTTTTTTTCATTATTCCATTTATTTTTTATTTTTTTTCTCTTGTTAATAATGAACTGAACGGGTATAAAATCCAGTTTTTTAACTTATTTTTTAAGCTGGCTTGTACTGTAAATAGAATCCAGATCCGAGGTGTTTAGTTAGGAAATACTCTACCAGCCTCATGAAACGATGTACTCGCTGTCCTGTGTTGCTGTGGAAAACCTTGGGATGGCAGGCTGGCCCTGGACCCGTGCTGAAAGGTGAATGATCCCTTCTGCTGTTGGCTGCTGCCACAAAGAGCCCCAGCTGTGCTCCGGGTGGTCGCTCCCAGGCTTTCAGATTAGCAGGAATGGGGCAGCAGCTGAAAGCCTCCCTCTTTCCTCCTTCCTTCCCTGGTGTCACACGTGCTGCTCCGCTCCCTGCCTGCGTGGTGGTGGCCTTGGGTGGGAGCTCCATCCTCCAGCACTGGGAGCAGGGGGGAAGTGAGCGCCCACCTCCTGGTTCTGGCCTCTCTCTGATGTTGGGCTCTGTGCCGTCTCTCAGATTTACCTTTGGGAACTGCTTCGGGTGCCTCCTGCTTGTGGTTTTGGGGGGATGGAGTCGTTCCCTGCAGCATCCTGTGGTTTCCCAGTTGAGGCAGCTGTTAGTGCTGGGAGCTGGCCCTGTGCAGAGGAGCGTCCCTTCTGGAGGAAGCTTTGGCACCGGAGCGGGGCTCCATTATGGGAAGGGGGCTGCGTGAAGCTGTGGGGCAGCTCAGACTTCAGGCTGCATTTTCAGGTGCTGACAGCCAAAGTGGGAAAGCCTCCTCCTTACAGACTGCAAACAAACAGTGCTCTCAGACAGAGGCAGGCAGCAGCAGGTAAGTCTGGGCCATCTTCCCTCCCCTTTCTGTGTGGGGCTAAGAGTGCAGCAGTGCCAGTGCCCTTCCCTGGGGGTCACGGCTGTGGGTGCACAGCGTGCTGCTGCACAGGTGCTCTGCTGAGACACAGCACTCATCCTGCACCGTGCAGAGCCAGAAAGGGGCCAGAAAGCAGTGCTGCAAGCAGACACTGCTGTGAATGCAGCAGAGGGGAGGAAGGATTCTGCAGCCAACAGGGCCTGCCCTAAAAGAGTGAACTGCTGTGGGTCCCTGAAGCAGCACAGGGGGTGACACACAGGTCCTTGCAATGCTCGGCACACAGTTCTTGTCTCAGCTGTTTTTCTAATAGCCTGTCCTCAAGCCCCATGGAGAAAAAGCTGATGTACTCCATGGCACAGCTGACAGAAACAAATCGATCACGCCGCTCGTTGGTTACTGGTGTTTCTTCCAAGGAGACGTATATTTTTAATAAACAGAGAGTTGCACAGAGCTCTGCCTTTGAGCCCTTCTTGGGGAGTCCTTCCTCGTGTGCCAGTTCTGCTGCCTGTGCTCACCTGAGCAATCGGTGCCAGCAAGCAGAAGTGCTGAAATGCGGTCACTGAGAGCAGCCTGGAAGAGAAAAGAAGAAAGGAAGCAGCCTTGCTCAGGTGCAGCCCTGATGAGGTCACAGGAAAGCTCTGCTGTTGCTGCTTGATGTGGGTTGGATGACACCATCAGTGGCTTCAGGGCCACAGGTTGAGTTGTATGGGGCTGGTTGTACAAATAGGGTTTATGTGCTGCTGTGTAATGGCTTCTGTGGTGGATGTGAAGGCAGCAGTGTGCTATATATACACATGTGGGTCTGTATATATATATATATATACACACAGTCCCACTAACACCAAGCATCCTTTTTCAGCCTAACGTGTTATTTATACAGCAGATGACAAAAAGTTGTGAAGACGACCAGTTTCTGCTGCTGGTATTTTTAAATACGGGGAGCAGGAGTGTTTGCTGGCAGACAAGTGTGATTAATGGGTGTGCTGTTAGCATTCCTGGCTGAATCTGCTGTGTCACCGAGCTCAGCTGGCTCAAAGGTGAGAAGGCTTTTGTTTTCCACAATCTTGAAGGCTGTTTCTGCTCTATCTCTGCAGCTGTGCTTCATTAACCCTGCACTCCTCCCTAAGCACAGGAGTGCATAAGTGTGATGCGATGGGAGATAATTTAATAATAGCTTTCTCCAAAGGGTTTTTTTTTCCTTCCCCATTGATGCCTGATGTGCAGGCAGCTGAATGGCTGCATGCCTTACAGCCACGTCTTCACCTCCCAGTGCTTGGCAGCATCAAGGATTGCTGCTCTCTGCCTTCCCAGCAGCACTGGGGCACCTGCTGCAAAGGAGGTGGAGTTGTCACGTTGCAGCAGTCTCAGTGCATGAAGCACCCTGAGGTTCTCCTGTTTGTATCCCCTCCCTCCCAAATGAAGGCACGGTGTTTGACTTGGATTGTTTAACACTAATTAGAACCGTGGAGCTGTTTGGGTCGCTGAGTGCAGCAGCTGCTAATGGTGGAGGCATGCAGGGGGTGATGATGATGGAGTGAGGCGCAGCATGGGGTTGGGACCACACTGGGCTGACCGTGGTATTTCCTCCCTATTCTTAGTTCCAGGGCTACTACTCGACAAAAGCTTCTGCCCAATCCTCTAATGAGCTTCAGTCCTCTTCCAATTAACTTGATTTCTGTTTACTGTAATCACTTCAACTCTCCTGGGCTTGACCTGAGCACTGGTGGCCAACCCAGCCTCTCTGCCTCTCCAGAACATTGCAGCCTTTGCACTGACAAACGCTCAGCCCCGATGGTGGGAGGAATCCCAGCACAGCCCCTGTGGGCCGTTTCAAGACTGCACTTCCCATGCTAGTCCAGGCTGCTGCTGCTCCCCAAACAGTTAAGATGTCAGCTTAGTAAGAAAAAAAAGGGCACAAGTACTGGCTTGAGGCAGAGGGATTTGTGAAGTGCTGCCCTGGAGGATGCATCTGTGTGTTCTCAGAGGCTGCACTTACACAGCACACCCTGTAGTTCCCACAGCGACGTGCAAAGCAGAAGCCACCGCTGCAATGCCACCTTCTGGAGCCATCTGCTCACACCTCAGGACGAGCACCAGGATCCTCCAAGCAGAAACCAAGCTGCAGCACAAAGCTGATCAATAAAAGAAGACGTGAGGAGCAAACAGCACTGAGTTGATTTTTCCTTCTATCCCTAATGGGACCACAATGCAACACTCAGCCTAATAAGACGCCCACTGCACAGACCAGCCTGCATCTACACCAGCAAACAGCCTGCAAAGAAGGGTGTTTGCACACAAACTACCTGTTGGGAATAGGTAAAATAAACTGGGAATCCAGCTCATTAAGGTCTGATTCAACCTGGAGAGGAACTCTTGCTCTATTTAAAAGCTGTGGTAAATATGAAGCCTGGAATAAAATGCACAATGCAAAAGATGAGCAGCAAAGAGTTAAGAAGTACTGTTACCAGCAAGTCCATTCTGCTGAAGGCTGTAGCATGAGAGAAAGCAATCTGAGCTGTTAAGAAAATAAAAATGATCACACAGTTCTGGCTGTGGGCAAAAACACATTAAATGCTTGCTATCTTCCAGTGGCTGTATGCAATTACCTACCACACTCACTGGGCACACAACGACCTCACCTGTCTGTGCAAGTCAGAGCTGAGGGCATCATTAGAGGCAGTGCAGAGATGCACCAGCAGCAAGGAGCACCTGAACTGTAGGGCAGCCATGGTGGCCAGGTTCAGGGAATGCAGTGTATGCCTCCAACACTGGGACTGCAGCAGAACTCAGTGCCACTGCTGAGGTCTGGCTTTTGAGGGGTTCAGAGGTCTTTCTCTGACAAACAGCACGTTGTGCATTAAAGAGCTGAAAACAGCTGCTTGCAGAGATCTCAATCTCAAGCAGCAAAACACTTCTAGCTCTCTGGTAAGCAAACATGAGGACCCTAAATGCCAGTAGGTGCAGCGCCCCTCACATCTTCAATTTCCTCTTACAGAAACAGCAGAAGAATCCCCATAGCACAGATCACACAACTGTATGCGTGGCTCATCACACAAAAGACAGAATCTTCCATATGTACTTGGTTGTGCATTATGGCTTCTTACTCCCCAAACTGAAAAGCAATCAGTGTGCACGTGCTAGCTATGACAGCTACCCACCTCACCTTCTCAAGAGGCACTGATACCCTGAACCTGTGGTTTTTGTTCAAGCACCCCATCAGCTTTTTGGGTGGCTTTGTGTTGGTTTTTTTTTGTTTAAGCTCCTATAATAAACACCTTTAGCCGCTGCACCCCACAGAACTCAGCACTCCAAAGCCTTCATTGCAGTGCACTGCCCCTTTCTCCCATCCCAGGCAGTGTTACTTTCTTCCAAAGGATTGAGCACATCAGAAGCTACACAGACTCTGACCTTGTGCTCATATGCACTCAGTGCAGCCACGATTTATGCCCTGGAGGGGGACACCAAGATATGTCATGGAGTGCAGTACTGAAAATAACACTCAGACCATTTATTTTCCGACTTCTGAAGCTGCTGATTAAACAGCAGAGGTTGCACAGAACTATGATCTAAGATCTCTTAACCTCACTCCATCATCCCTTATCCAGGCTGAGGTTCACATGGGATGTATCACTTCAGGTGATCCAGCTGCAGTTGGATGCATCCATCTACCAGCCTGTGTCTTTATGTGGATCTGGGGGCACTTCATGCTGAGCTCTGCCTGTTGCAGCCAGCAGTCCATAAAAAAAAGCAGTACATAGCAAAAGCTGTGGCTTTCTTCTGCGAGCTGGGTAGCACCTGCTCTTTTCTGTTCTGAACTGCCATCATGGCAAACAGCTCTGAATTCTTGTTCCTACTGAGATGGATTGAAAACGAAACCATCTGATAAATATTTATGCAGCACGGCAGCTGTGGCATCCCAAGGAGATGCCTGGTACTGGAATACTTCCATGGCTCACAGTGCCACTTACTACTAACATCAGGTACTTCAATTAACCCGTGACACAACAGCAGAACCATCTCAAGAGAAACTTACGTATTTATTTCTGCTACACAGCTCCACAGAATGAAAATCTCCTAGAGGGAAACAATAACACGAATTCAATCAACACATAACTTAATAGCCAACAAGAGGGAGATTCTGGTTTCCTTCCCACTGCTCCTGTGCCCTCGCAGAGCCAACAGCCTCCTTCCTGCAGCAGGATGCTTCCAACTGCTGTCCTCCTTTCCTGCAGTTGTGCTTATCATTATTCTTCATTTGGAAGACACTCTTTTACTCTGTCCAATTTGTCCAGAACCTCACTATAAAGGCCGACCATCTGGAGAATACAACATGATGGTTGATTCAGTCAACAAGGATGTATAAAGGAGAATCATTCAGTAGGTAATACAAAGCAGTGGCAGGGAACAGGAGTAGGGAAGTGGGTGGGAGACTAAAGCCAGCTTCTAAATCTAGAATCTTGGATTGATGCAAGGATTTTGGCACAGATTGAAACACGGGGCTTTAGCTTAAATCAGTGGCACCTCACAAAGGTGGATTTACTTACACTGACATAAAGCACAGCTTATAGCTGAGTCTTCTATCAATTAATGAACCTGTTCTTATTGCATTAACTGATGTGCTTAAAACAACACAAAGGTTGCAACCAGCTCCTGATTGTCTCATAGACGAGAGAATAAACCATGACTGCATGCAGCCAGGCTGTACTGAGCTGCAGTCAAGACAGGAGCACCAGCCAGAACGCTGCAGACAGCAGCTTACTTGTGACTAATGAAGAAGCAGCATTGCTGCTTTCTGCAGAGGCACTGGCTGTGGAATTTCACCCTCACAGACTAAAGAACAAGCTTGCAAAAATTCATGCAACAGGTGATTTAAGTAAAGTGGTACAGCATCCTTCCCTTAGTGAAATGAGGCCGTGGTCACAAATCGCCTCACATCTAGCTGTGCAGTCCTGTCAGTAAAGACTCTGCATCACTCCTTCCACTCTGCATCAAATCTATTCTGGCCTCACTTGGAGAAAAATCGACTTTGGTTCCCCCAAAATAGGCAAGGCCAGGTCGGATGGAGCCCTGGGCAGCCTGGTTCAGTGTTAGATATGGAGGTTGGTGGCCCTGCATGCAGGAGGGGGGGTTGGAGCTTCACGATCCTCGAGGTCCAACCAAAGCCATTCCATGATCCTATGCAGGTGCCACGCTGCTCCTGACAGCCTTTAAACCACAGGCAGTGGTTTCTTCACTCAGATCCACACCTTCACAATTCCACTTCTTCCCCTCCACAGCTGACTTCTACCACGTTCAGCCCAGACATCCACTCCCATTCCCATTTCCATCTGCTCACACTTACATGTCCCTCATAGCTTTTCTTCAGAGATCCTAAATGATTGAGGAAACGCATTCCTAATCCACACCACTGCTCTGCTTCCTGATATTTACCAACAGTAAACTGAAATATCCCTGTGTTCCAGGCTCTTGTCATCAACCAGAGGATCTCCATCTCCGGATAACTATCCTGGAGTAGCAAACAGAACGGGAGAATGGTGGTGCTTTATTTTTCCCCTACACAAAGGACAATTCTTTCAGAGTTATCACATGCTTCACTGAAACTTGGCCTGAAATATCTCTAAAGAAGCCTTACAAAAATCAAGAAAGCCATTTCTAAAAAAGCCATTTCTACTGAGGTAACTTCAGTGCATCTTTTACTGAAGAATCTAAGTTGCTTCATATATAACACTGTATAATGTTTTACCTACTAATTATTCTCAACTTGATGAATAAATAAATGTTTTAAATGTGCTCTGCATCACTTCCCAATCTCTTGTTTTCCTGTTCAACTTACTGAGCTGCTGACTACATTCAGAGCATCTTCAAAGTAGCCCCACACCTCCTGCAGCACACAGGCATCCAAGTCTGTCACTCCGGTTGGCAAAGAAAGATTAATCAAACTATGCAAGCAGTTGCTGGGAATCAAAACAGAATGAAAGAGGAAATATGAAATACCTCAAGCACAGAGCAAACAGCATTTTAGCACCTGCAGCACAAAACGACTCGTGCCTCTGATTGCCATCCTGTGCATCCACCTCTGTGCTTAGTGCACCTGTATCTGTACAGACACCTTCCTGGCATCAGAGCTCACTCATACAAGCTGTGCAAAAAGAGACCCGAGAGCAGCTGTTCTGTATTGTAACTGCTGGGCTTGTAGCATTTTCATGGGATGCCATGCATGACAGCAAGGAAAAAAGAGAAGACCCTCAGCTCTTGTTTGTGAAATGAGAAAAGTGCTCAGCATCCTCACAAAATCAGTAACAAACACACAGCTTCTGAAAACAGTGTGAAAAGGGAAAAAGAGTAGCAATGGCTGCCTCTGCCCACTGGTTGCAGCACAGAACTTAGGAAGAAGGAAAAAAAATCCTTTATGAGATAGAGCTGAGAGAGAAGGACACGCCTGGCTGTTTGTCAGATCCCACAAGCTGCAACTGCTGGTTACCCAGCAGAATAAATTGTGCATGTGCTACAGCATCTTATTGCTAGCTTACACCTCATGGCTTTCTTCTCAGCCTTTGTCTTAATTTTCTAGTTCACTACTTCACTGCTGCAGAGAAGCATTTGGAACAAACACTTCTGTAACAAGAAGCAGCCAGGAACGCTTTCTAGATCATTGTCCTTCCTCAATAGATTCACTTATTGCAAACACGACCTTCAGAAAACACAGCCAGCAAACAGGTTGCAGTCATCACACCTGTTAGACAGACACACTGCAGTGGCAGATTGGTTGGCCAGCAATTCAGAGCAAGTTTAAACATGAGCTAAAACCCACTTTTTCCAGCTGGAGGCTTTGTTCCCTGCCACATTTCAAACCATGGGCTCACGACAAAGGGATGTGATAACACTCACCTGAATTTCACAGCATCAGTGGTAGTTTGCTTTCTGTAAAGGCTCAGGGCACTCTTCAGAGCCTTCTTACACAGCACAGGATACCGAGCTGGAGGTTCCATTGCTAATGCTATAAAATTAATGTTAAAAATTAAAGAAATGGAGAAGAAGGAAATGATTGGAGCCAGACTTCATGGTCAGCATTTGTTCATTGCATGGGCAGGTCACAAGCTAGTGCTTCTCTGCCATCTTCTTAGCTGTAGACTCATCAGTGAGGACTACGAGCAGAAGCACAGCAGATTGTCCACTGCTGCTGCTTACAGTCAGTGCAGTAACCCCAAAGTAGCAATGGGCTCTACAGAAACAAGGATCCTCTTGATTGTCTCCTAGGGCTTGAAAATCTAGATAGAAAAATCAGGCAGCAGTGGGATTTGAGTACAGCTTTTCCCCCCGCATCTCCTTAAGACAACACAGAAAAGCAGGTGCTTACACAACTGTGCAGAATCCCTTCCAGTTTTGCCATGGTGGATCTACATTTTACACATTTTTTTTGTTCTTATGCTGTATTCTCACTGGAACTTTGTGATGAAGATGAGGTGTAGCTATAGAAGGATTATTTACAAGTTAACTACACTAAGCTGAAGAAGCAAAAGCACCCTAAAATGTCTGTGTTGGAACATGGAGCACCTAGGGCTGCTCTCTGGCCTTTGCCAGTTTTGGAGCCTGTAAAAGTTTATCTGAACAACTTTTTCCAGACTCAAGACTTATACAAATGTCTCAGGTTCTAGAAATTAGAGGACATCACAAATTACTGGTTCATCATCCACGTAACACAACGACATTTCAAAGCTCAGATCTCCTAATACTGCTGAGATCCTAAGCATCTTTGTTTCAGGATACAATATTAAGCTCATTTCCTGCACAATGTACCATACACAATAATCCTGGTCACCTCAAATGTAAAGGAAAGAGTGGCTTGAGCTGATTCTCATGACTTGAAGAACAAATGCAGTCCTTACATGCAATGATTTCTAGTGTCTTGATCTCTATGTGTGGTTGCTCCCACAGTGACTCCATGAAGTTATTGAGTGCTGGATCATTAAGCTTGGATCTTGCTTCAAATTCATAGAGCAGCAACAGAGTGTCTGTTGGGTCTTTAGAAAAATCTCCTGTAGGAAAGATAGATTTGTCTGTATGTAATGATTCATTTTCTTAAAGCTAAATTGTGTACAAGGTCAATAGTTTACTTCCAACAGGCAGGAAAACCATTAACAAACATCCTCAGATTGAACAGCACAGGAAGTAGAAACTGAGAAGTAGTTGTGGATGGAATCCCCAGATGCCAAATGCACAACCCCACCATCCCCATGCTTCAAAGCCATCCCCAAAATCCAGGTTGTCTGTAATTGGCTGAATGATTGCAGCCTGGACAAGAGCAATAGCTACCAGGAAAGCCAGTGGCACAGCCAGGTAAAGCAGATAACAGAACATCACTGCCTGAAAAGCTTTTGAATGATGTTACCATCAGCTTTCAATTCTTCTGGAGGATTCATCCCCTCCCTGGTAGGAAACCCTCAGGAAAGAAGGTGGGAGAACAGCAGAACCACGAAGGCACAAACCAACATAAATGCCAGACCAGCCTGTGCTGTCACCAAGACCTTGACTCTTACATCTAAAAGACATTCTCAGCTTCATCCAGAGCAACAGGCTCGTCCACACACTGGCTAAAGTCTAGAGAATAGAGAAGGAAGAGCCAGGCTACATTCCACAAAGCTCTACAATAAAAACTCCCATCTAGTGAAATGTCCACGTCCAGAGATAATCAACCCAGTGGGATTTTAGGGAGGGAGATAAAGAGAACTCCAAATCCAGCCTATATAATGAACCTTTAGTTCAGAAACAATAAAATCTGGGGGGAAGGGGGAGCTGCAGGTAAATTTTTTGACAGAACTTAAACACTAATGCATCTTACCATGGAAACTCAGCAATTTCTGAAGCCTATCACTGAAAAGAAACCAGACCACAGGTCAGACAAGGAATGCCTGAACCTGATAGAGTTTTTCTAGTGATGTATGACCAAAAAGAGGAAGCACGTAGCCTCTAAGCTACCAGTCACACAGCATGCCAGCTGTCAGCAGCTGGAAGCCCTCCATTCTCCTGTGATCAGCCTGAGCTGTGCTGACATGGAATTGCCAAGGAACAAAGATGGGTTCTGACACTTGAGAACGTGGCAGTAGGTCCTTCTGGATTCTCCAATGCCTTTCAAGGGAAGAATCAGTAAAAGTATTAAAGCACACCTTACTCCAGACTGCAGTGCAAGAGCGGAGCCAGGAAAATTGTGCAGATCTGCTACCAGCCTGATTAGAGCAAAGAGCTTCAAGTTTCCTAACAGTGAAGACAGAAAAGTCAATCCAGTTCACTCTCAAAGATCATTCCCCCTTCACAGCACCTGTACAGCAAAAAGCCAGCAATGACACATAAAAAAGCCACAGCTGGCACTGTAAGTTCTCATGCTATATTGTCCCATATGTTTCAGCACTCCTCAGCAATGACAGTAGCTCCACATGCCCTGTATTTTCAGTGAACACAGTGACTCATTGTACTTACACACACATTTCCCACCTTACCTGTTAATTTCAGAACTTTCCAAATCTCTCTGCACGCCTGGAGATGTTGGAGAGCCTGATTCCAAAACTCCACCTGATTTACAAGGAGTTCAAAAGATTTCTGTTACAGTCTTACAGGAAAAAGGAACAGACAGTTCACAACTGACCAGAGGAGAGACTTCTCCATGCCTAAGCATTTACTAAAGGCAGAACCTGCCTAACATCATCCCCACCAGCTCCTGGGGGGTTGTGTTCTGTTTTCTCCCTCTTTTGTAATGACCTTCACTACTCAGGCAAAGCCTCTTCACACTGAAGGTTCTGTTACTTCAAAAAGGACCACGTGTGTCCCTGAAAGACATCATCTGTTTTCTCTTGAACATGCAATAATCTTACTGAGACTGATAAACCACTGCTCACGTAATAAACAAGGCAGACTGAAGTTCCTTTAAGAATAGGCACTGTTGACCCTTTGCTGATACAAACCTGCTCAAATCTATTTAAGTCAATTGAGTTACTTTACAGAAATCCAGTATTTTCAATTCTCTGGGTGTACTGATTCTACTGAATTATGGAAGGTTCCCATGCTTAACACTTTCCATATCTCCTTCTGAGTGAAACAACTAAGGCTTCAAAATCAAAAGTAAAAAAACAAAGTAGTGAATGTTCATTTTGTGGATACAGATCAAATGAGGCAACAGAACAACACCCTACCTGCTCAGAAAGTGCTACTTCTTGTCTCCCCAGCTCCAGATCAATTGCAGCTGCCATTAACAAGCATGTCTTCTGAGCAATTAGAACAGCCTTGTCAGAGGGACAGAACTGGGATAACTGGAACAAAAATAGGAGGTAATGGGAACTGTGCCTATATAAAGCAATCTGCATGCAGAACAGAGGATTGTCAAGTGCCTTCTATGACTTTTTCAGTACAAAGGGTGCAGCAGTGTTGGAGTTAAAAAATAAAATTATATATATATATATATATATATATACAAAAAAAAGCACAATGTTGGTAGAAGTTCTGCATGGAGATTTGGACTCCAGTACTTGTTGTGTAAAATGTTTCTATTCGTGATCCAGCTCCCATACATGAGAACAAAGGTACTTCAGGAAGATCTCACTGAAGTCTACATGTCTTGCCATACTTTCAATGCTCAGGTTGTAAAGTATAACAGTGGTTAAACCTTAAACTGCAAGGCCATTTTTTTCTGACAGTGCTCCATTCTCAGAGCACACGAGGGCTCCTCCAAGGAGATACCCATAGATGGAGGTAACTTCTGACAGCAGCAGACTGTGACAGTGTCAGCACATACCTTGAAAGACAGGACAAAAAAATCCCTCATCTTGTCAGGGCAGTCCTTGAGCTGCACAGCTAAGTTCCAGGCTAACAAAGACATAAAACCAAAGGCTAGAATAACAATCTTAGACATGTTACTGGTTATGCCCATCTAATCTCCAACGGGCAGAACATATCGTGCAATTCAATTCCTTCATCCAAACATCATCAACAGGTCACTTAACAGCGAGGGATACCTATGCCAGTGATTTGTTAACATATCTTATTCCTGCTTTCAAATCTTGCTTTGATAATTTCATCCCAATCCAGTGTCCATTCTAACATGTATTCTCTCACAAGAGTATGAATTGCATGAAGCATTTTCTTGTCAGTAAACAAGATCAGAATCTGAATAAAAATACTGACCAGCATTCCCAAGTATTAAACAGAACCACAATCACACCATTCACCACTGATGGCAGCACATTCTGAGCTTTCTGATGCTGATCTAATCTGCATAAGAACATGCATACTCAGTATTTGTTGCTATTTTTTTAATTGCCCTTAGCAGCAATTTTTTTTCAGAAAATCACTGGTATTCCCTATTTGTGTGACCTTGCATTTGACTTCAGTGAAAGTCAAAAGGAGAAAAAATAGGAGCCCAGCATATCTGCATCATGGGCACAAAGAGCTGCTGAGGTAAAGCAGGGCCAAACACCCCATCAGCCACACAGACCTCATGCAAGTATTTGTCTGAGTTGAAATGAGTTACAGCAGGCAGCTTCAGAAGACAAAAAATGAACAGACCACTTAAAGCAGAGACTGCCAAAGGTGGCACCTTCCATAGCACTGCACCTTCAAACACCTCCTCCTTCCTTAACATCAGCCTAAGTGGAGGTGATTCACTTGAAGTCCTGAGAGTGCAGCTTACCAACTTTTCTAAACCAGTGGGCTTCTGAAGTCCTTACATCTCTTGTCAAATTCTCCTCTGTGAAAGGCTCAGCAAGTTTCTGGTGAGCTGCAGAAAATGTGTTCTTTAGGAGACAGGTTGCATCTTCTAAGCAGGACACAAACAATTCCAAGTCTAATAACTACATTACAAATATCATTTTTTCAAAGCTCCCATGCAATCCCTGATGAAGGGTTATTCTCACAGCTTATATCTAATATGATTGACCACAAAAGCTTAGAAAACAAACTTCAGAAGGTGTCTCAAACAGCATTTAGGATAAGATGTGAGGCTCCCAGGAGGTACTGCCTCTTCAAAGCTTATTGGCACTGAAGCCTAAAGCAGAGGAGTTTAACTGAATTTGCTCAAAAAGTTGGGTGGGGATTCAATTTAATAAGTGTTGTTTAAGGGTTTTCTTCAAGGAACATTTATTTCTTTTACTCCTCTGTTCATTCTCTTCTGCAAGTCCCAGTCAAGAACAGTGAGAACAGGAAAAGTTCAGTACTTCATTAACTTTCTTTTCCAAGACAGGGGAAAGCAGTAGAAAAGATTAATGAAATAAGAATTTATGTGGATGGGAAAATCTTCTGTAAAACTCCTGTGTGTATTCCAAAGCAAACAAGACAATTCTTTTTCAGTGAATGGCACAGCTTAAAAGTAGCACCCGATTTTGACAAGGCTCTCCTCATCTTTCAGCAATTTGCTAAAACTGCTTGAAGTTTCCCAAGCCTTCCAAGGCAAAAGAAAAACCAAACCTTAAATACCTCCCAAAACAGCAAAAACAGCAAACACCATCACTGGCATTTAACTGACACCAACAGGAAGCTGTGCTGCTAATTGATGGAACAAAACCAAACTTCTTCCTTTCTGAAGACACCAACTTTGTTTCTGCCTTTAGGATTGAGACCCAACCCCCCAGCACTGCTGAATGCCCTGTTTAACTTGGGGAGCTGAGAACGTGGGCTGAAATAAGGAGTCAGCACGGACCTGACCGTGTCACAAAACATTCACAAATGGAGGGACTACAGAAAATGTGAACACAACAAAAACGTACCCAAGGTCAAATAAGTCAGCATCGACTTGATGTCTTCATCTCTAAAATGGAGGGGAAAAAAGTCAGGTTTTAGATAACATTTGATTAATTTTCTTGCAATAGAACACATTATTGATGCAGGAAGACAACAGCTCCTTAATAACAGATACGATCATTCTTCTGACAAATGCATCAGGCATTAGAAACCTCTGGCATTTGAAGGTGCAGAGGGCCTGCAAAAGATTTTAGTGACAGCAGTGAAGGTAGAAGTGTAGGAGATTTTCTCAGTCAGTAGGATGCAGTTAGGGGCTACAGGAGAATCTAATCTCACTGACATCCCCTGTCTTCTTGCCAGCCACAATCCAGCAGTACAGCTCTCCTCCTTCCATGCTATTGCACTGCCTGCAACGTGGCCAGCCTTCAGCAAGGGAGGTCTCACTCTCAAGTTCTCACTCAGAACTTGTGTAAGATATCTCAACCTTGTGTCGATGTTAAAAAGAATGCTTAGCTCATACTCCCATTAAACAATAAAACTGGAATGCAGAAAGCAAGTATTTAAAGGAAAGGTGATACAAGCAGATGCCTCTGCGTGACACCATTAGGCCATGGTGGGAAGTCAGCTGGGTGCACTTTTAACTAGTAAAATCTAACCTCTTGATTACTCCTAAGGAAAAAAAGTCTCTGTTGCACTGTTTGTATAATCTGTCTGCCATAAGAACACATTTTACAGATGTACTCACCTTTTCTCTTCTTTTTCTACTTTTGACAACGTAAGACGAACCAAACATCTGAATATGAGAAAAAACAACAGTGAGGAAACAAGATTTTTTTTCCCAACAGTGTACTTTGCCCTCAGGTTTCAGACAGGATCCCACTTTCTTCTTTATGCCATCAGTCCACATCGCTCACAAAAGAATTTGGTGTCAAGCTAGAAGAATACTGTAATATTTCCCATCCCACTGCCTTATTTTATATACCATTTTGTTAAATCAGGTAATAGAAAGGAAATAAATGTACTTTCAAAAAATTTTCAAACAAAAAATGGAAAGAAGAGGTTTTTCTTGCAGTGTTTGTTTTCATAAGCGATAGAACATTTCAACAAGACATCACTTCATCACAGGACACAGCTGAGCTGGTATTTTCACCACAGGAGTTGCTGCAATCTCAGTCGAGTTGCTGTTGGTCATTTGTTCAAATCACAATGAAGTCAAAACTCAGAGCTTGCCTGGAAAAAGCCTGAAATGTATACAGACTGTAGGAGTCTGGGCCTGAGGAACATCCCCATTGTGAAAAGCACTGCTCACTAATCCTTCATCTACTCTGCTTTCCACCTTCCTCAACAAAATCATTTCTGTTGGAAAGAAACCAGAGTTCCCTTCCCATGTGAACATCTCACACCCTCACTTTAAAGCTGCAAATACTTGTCGGCAGTCTTGTGAACGTTCAGACAGGTGCTGCAGAGCTCTGATAGCCACAACCTGTTGATCATGCTGAAAAGAAAAAAACAAAACCAGCCATGAAGGCACAATTTGTATAAAGCACTCTTGCTCAGTTTCCACAAAACAAAACAATGAAGAAAAAGAAGAGCAAAAGATCTGCACAGTTTCCCTCAGAGGTGAAAGAAAACCATAGGGAGGGACACAATTCCACGTGCAAAGAGCCTAAAGCAGTAACAGGCTCAGTACAACTTGGCAAGCTCTTCATGCCTTAGAATGCTATACAGCCCTACAAAGCATCCAAAAGGTAAACGAGTTTTCAGTCCTCCATCATTGCCTTATGTAATTTTGGACAAAATCCCAGGGGTAGGGAGGAATGTAACATTTTGCTGAAGAGAATTTTACAGAAACACGCCATGACATTTCTAGATACTAACATTTACCATTCAGAATCACTTGTTCTCCAGATAAATAAGTATATGTTCAAATAACAGTTTGTTCTTATATGGAGTCAGTTTGCACTTTGCTTTGCACAACGCATCTCAGAACATACAGTGAGATTTGGTCACACAAGCACTAAATACTTCAAAATGCATGAAGCAGAAATACTAAAAGTAGGCCAGGTTACAGAGGTTACAGCTGTCCTACTTATAGAATAAGGCAAAATAAAGACAGTGTTTTCTGTTCTACCTCTAAAGCAATTTGGGCAGCCAAACTCAGGAGGTTACTGCTCATACTTTCATCCACTACCAGCTTGTCTTCATGTTGAGATGGCTTTTCAGCTAGCTTCCCCATTTCAATAATGGCATCCACAGCTGAAATACACATAGAGAAAAATCAGTTGTTGGGGTCTTTTTTGTTTGGTTGTTTGTTGTTTTTTTTTTTAGTGGAAGCAATGGGAAGGTGTAAAGTTCCACTGTTTTAATAAGGCTTTAACTACAACTTATAACAAAATAAAATCACAGCCTTTCATAAGAAGAAAATCGAGACAAGAAAACCTGACCATACCAGCAGCTCTCCACAGCTGTGCATTTCTTCCCAGAGGGGCCAAAAAGGCATTCTAAGCTCCTAGTCTAAGGAAACAAGGATGCCACACAAATGAAACTGCATCTCACATATTCTCAATTTTGCTCTGCTAAATATCTTTCTGTCGCAGAAGCCTTTCTTTAATCCATTGCCTGGGCAAGCTTCCAAGCTCCCACATCTTGGTTCACGTTAAGGCTGCTGCTGCTTTTATGCTCCTGCTGTGCTGTGGTTCCCACTCTGCATTATATGAGCAAATTAGGCTGCCATTTAAAAGACATATAGAGAATAATTCATCAGCACAGATCTCATTGAAGAATAAGATCTGCGTGTTACTCTGTACCCTACTTAAGTCTATAGACTGTATTTCTCAATTTTCATTATTTGAGCTAAGAATCTCATTAAAATATGAAGTGGCAGAAGAAAAAGTCTACAGACATATGTCATTCTGTAAGTCATCTCAGTCAGCTCATGTATTTTCTGGTAACTTCAGGCTCTGCTTGACCAGAGAAATCAAGAGCAGTGATAAAGGCTCATCTAGCTCTGTAGCATTTTTCCAGCTGTACACACTTATAAAAGAACTTTAGAAATAGCAAGTCTACAATGATTCTCACCCTGGGATGCTGCTTTAGCTTTTGCCCACAGGATTAGAGAATTCCAAGCCAAAGGCTCCACACAGATTACACGCTATGTGTAAAACAACATCCCCCTCTGACAGCCCAAAATCTACAGGCTGACAGTTTCAGTGATTTCATAGACACTTCTCCTATCTTCTCTCTATTATGTCTTCCCCAGAATTAACAGCCCATGTCTGCTGAGCATTATCTACGACACTCAACGCTTCTGATCGTTGCAGAGAACCTTTTTGCCTTTCAAGTTCTACCTTTATCAGTATTATTCTCCATCACTGCAATCTTATAGATGCTGAATTGAGTAAAGATGCTGTTTGGATCACACCTTTCTGCTTCTTTAACTGCCTCTTTAGCCTATACAGAGAAAAGAAAGGAATTCAGTGCAATGATGCAACAGGAGAGAGCTAAAAGCTGTAATGGTTTCATTAGAGATGTTCACACAGTTACTGTACAAGTTTGGTTTGGCAACAACCCCCCCCAAAAGAAAAGTGATCAGAGCAGAAGATAACACCAAGGACAGACAATGACTGTAATGAGGAAGAAAGCAATTCCTCCATTGGAGCCACAGAATTAGAAAGCAGAAGAAGCCCTGAGAATGCTGAGAGATTAAACTCCATTCTGCCACTTTGAACTGTGAAGTTCAATATCCCCAAAGCAGAACTCAGACAGGTAATGCACATGCACAGCTCTGCAGGGCTGACAGTGCGTGGAAGTGTCACAGTGTGACAAGTCCAATGCTTGTTCTGCTGAGGCTCATCTGTCTTGAAGGGAGGATGGCCCCTAATCTGAGAAGAAACCTGATGCTGTGAGGCATGCTAAGACAACCTGTGCATCGTTTCCCCTGTTACAAGGATGGGTGATAGAAGAGGCCCCCGAAGCAGTGAAGATAAGCAGTGTATCTCTCAGATCCTCTCAATGCAAAAGAGGTACAGGAACAAAAATGTAAACTAAGTCCAAATGATACAGCTACAAACACAAAAGCAATGTTATTAAATAAACATACCTTGTCAATTTGTTTCAGATGAAGATAGCAAGAAGCCATATTTCTCTGCAACTTAGCCAGATTCTGATCTATCTGCCCAGGTGTATAGAAGCTGACAGAATAGTTGTACCAGTTAAGAGCTTCAGAATAGCTTTTTGCCTAGGAAATTAAAAAATAAAAGGAAGAGGCATGATTAATTGGCTTGTTTTTCTAAATCAAACAAAACCATCATAGGAAATGAAAGATTCAGATAGTAAAGTAGGCTTTTTCCCAGATGAGCAGTCACTGAACCCCCAGCACAGGCACATTAGTTAGGAGAACAAATATTTTACCTATTCCTGCTATTCCACTACAGATGTCTCCGTGTAAGGAATATTTTAAGGTTTTTTGAACTCTTCCCAGGGCACAACCAGAACGGAGGGCTGCAGGGGTTCTGTGGCTGATCCATTCTGGTATAACTGTTCCCATTTACAAACCTGGAGAGGAACCTACCTGAAGCCTGATGTTTGAATGGAAAAGAGCACCTATCAGGATGAAAGTCAAACCAGTTCCAAATGGAACAGGGATTTTACTAACAACTTCCCCTCCATACAAAGCCAGACATATCAAAGAAGTCAGAAAAAGAAGATCTTCACTTCCACTCATACAAACATCAACGCTACTCAGTTCCAAACCTCATAGTGTTTGGCAGCTGTGTCCCACAGGATGATGTGCAGTCGGTTCAAGGTTTCAGGCAACAGCTGTTTCCCAGTGTAGTGACCTGAAAAGATATTGCAAGTCATCACTTTACAAGAACTTTAACCACACTGAGAGAACTAGCTGTGAGCTATCTATGTTTAAAGCAACTGTCCTGTTGCCTAAAACAAGAAACAACACAGCAATCGCTTCATCCAGGATCCAGTGCTCCAGATCCTGCTTCTGGAAAGAAAAAGTAGCAACCAAGAGAATAACTACTGTCATGCTCTAATGATGACAGCGTGGCTTTTGCACCCAGCTAAATGCTACATAAAGCACAGTCTGATTTGCAGCAGATACCACAGCCAAGAAGCACAACTGTGCTACAGGTGCAAAGGACCTGAAAAGGAACCTGCAATTCAGCTGCTCAAACAAGGACATGCAATCTGTTTTAATGCTGATATACAAAAATACATTGAGCTGGCTGGGCAAAGCATTAACATCACACAGAATTTCTAGCAAATGTTTATGTTCCCACATGCATCAAACTCACACAGCCCACACTGAGAAGAAGGAACTGTTTTAGCAAGAGAATTTAGCCTGAAGCTTTATCATAGCTGTCATTCATTATGGAAGTTGAGAGTTGCCATGCAAAAGAAACAGAAGGGAAGGTAGACGCAAACAAAAAGAAAGATGAGAGTATGTTAAAAAAATAAAATCAGAATTCAAGGCTGGCCAACTAAATGCAGCTTTCAGTAAGTGGCAGCAAAACAGGGATACAGACCTATAATAATTTCTTCAACCTTTTGCTTAGCAAGCAGCTCCCTCTTATTCTGCAACAAGAACTCGATGTAGAGCAGGGTGACTTTTCCAAAGTCAGGTGAAGCTTCAAATCGTTCAGCAACAGATTTCAGGAAATCAAAGCCAACTGATTCCCTGTTCACATTGACAGAATTTTAAGAGGCTGCACATAAAAAGCTGTTAATTTTCCATTCTAAAGAGTAACGTTCACACATTCAGTGTGTTTCTCATTGGCATTACTGGCACACAACCACACTGACAGAGTCAATCAAGGTATGAATGCACCACAGTTCATCTATTCTGTAGTCACTTCCTATTAGCACATGCTTGTTCTACAGTATTCACATGATAACTTTCATCTCACAGTGACAGAGTTAGAAATTACTACCAGACAGAAGTGCACATGCAGGTGATCACAGTGCAGCAGTCCACTCTGTGAAATGTCATGCCTTTGTCTTGCAATCTGTCCAACCTCATACTGTTTTTCACTGGGATTCCTAAACCTTTCATTTTCAGTGTTGGTTAGTTAACAGGGAAGAGAAATACAATTCCAGACCTGTGGCAAATACTAGAACTACATGGAGATGATCCTGGTTATTCCAAAGTAAGGCTACAATATTGCAAATCACCACTAGACTTTGTTTCTCACCCTGCTGTGCTAATATGTACCACCTTCCCACTGCACAGATAGGCTACCTATAAAAAGGGCTTTCCTGCCTCTGCCAGCTCCTACCTGAAGTGTCACTATGTAATAGAAGATCTTTGCTTATAGAGAAGCAGCTACAAAGCCAAATATTGTGTGTTCACTGCACTTAACGGTGCTTTCATACCTTCCATGCTCCAGCAGCAGCTTGGCAGTATTCAAACAAAAGTCTAAAGACATCTCATGGTGCTGGAATTCTGCAACAGCTAAAAAGAGCACAATGCTGTTAAGATTATTCAATCAGCTTCAGACACATGACAGCTCAATGTATGGTCTTACAAATTCTTTGAGGGGAAAAAAAAAGAACCAAGTAGTTCTAAAACCAAGGAAGAATCAGCCACGTCAGCTGTGTTCTGACTTTGTCTCACAATTAAAGTAACACTACAGAATGTGACAGCCCTGGTATTCCAGCCCTGCAGTCCCTCTGCTAACACTGGCTGTTATGGCCAAAATGCCAAATCAGAACTGTGACATTTGGCATGTGAAAATTCCCCTAGAACACACAACAAGGAGATGCTGGTTTTTCCCTTCTCAATCCGTTCAGTCAGGCTGTCAGTTGGACATGGAAAAGCATCACCTTCCCATGGCACCTGCACAGAACTCTGCTACCTGAGCTGATGTCTTCATCTGATGCTCCACTTTTAAGAAGGATTTTAACTTTCAGAAAAAACCCTGCTGGATGCAAATTCTCCTGCATAGGGAAAAACAATCCATCACTTGGATATTCTACTCTTTGTAGGAATTCAGGGCAGAACAACAATGGGAACAAACAGAAATAATAAAGGCTTTCTACTGCAGCTTTCATTAAAATACTGTATATATCAAACTTCAGAATAACATTTTTCTTCTAGCTTTCCATATATTACCAAAAAATATACTATCAGAACACTCTTCCATTTCAGACACTTTTCTGAAGGTAGATACAGAACACAAACTGCTCAGACGTAGCAGTAATGTATTACAGGGGTGGTTTGAATGCACTGCCACTTACCCTGACCTCACCAGCATCCTCAGCACCTCCCTCTGAAAGCTTTCCTGCTATGTTGAAAACTGGATTTGAGCTTTCACCTCCAACAGGATTTTATACTTACAATTTATTTTGTGTGACTCAAATAACAGAAGTTTAAGAATGGTCAACAAACAACAAACTGAAAGGTTTTGAATTCAAGTTTTTTCAGTAAACTGAAGACACAGAAGAATAAAATTAATCCCACTCCCTACATGGCAAATGGAATTTCTATAAGAGCACAAGATCTCAGAGCAGCAGCTGCTTAGAGATATACGAACTCTCTTCAGCTACAGTTCTTTTTTCAGCTTCCTGAAGGAAAACAGTCAAGCTAGTAAGGCGAAACAGTTAAATTAACTGCTCAAAATAAGGCTGCTGTTGGCATGGAACTCTCTTTGCTCCTTGCTCAAACATTTGTAAGGGTAATGAAATGGGGACTCAAAATGTAGTATGGAGATACCCACTGGAAACCAAAGTCAGACAGTTTTCATGCCATTTAGTCACACCACTACCAGTGGGTCTCACTGCTAACAGAACCACAGGCAGCAACACTGCTCTGCATCTACATACTGAGCTGTGCTTCTCTAGAAAGGTACAAATATCAAAATGTATTTAGGAGCACAAAAAGCAGAGCAAAACCAGCTCAGCCCCTAAGTCAGCTGATTTCAAGGAAAACACCAGTGGTCTGTGTCACGTCAGCAGATGTTAATAATGCTAGAGTTTCAGTTACTGCACAGATATCAGAGCACACCACTACCTTGTTTGCCAAGTCGATAGCCTTCAGTGCCTTGTCAAGATGCAGGCTGCAGTCCCACTCGAAATAGGCAGTTGCCAACAAGCGCAGCGCTTTGGCCTGGAAAAAGCAAAGTTCAAATCCAACAGCAGGAAGAACACAGGAACTCACACAGACACAAAAGGCTTAAATGTTAAGGCCACGAGAAATAAAGCTTCTCTCAGTCGAAAGAATTGCTTGTCTGACAGCAGGCTTGTGACTGCTCAGCTCAAAGCTCGAGCAGCAGTGCTGTGTGTGGAGTCCTGACAGGACAGGAATCAACCAGAGAGCTCAGGGAGCAGAAGAGTAATGAGGAAATTCAGAGATGTGTTAAAAAAGAATGAAAGAAGAAATTCAATGAACAAGAGTTACAAACTTCAGAAAAAAAAAAAAAAGACATACAAGAGAACGGCCTTCAAACACACCTCAGAAATGACAAGATGTATGTAATGATGATTTGAAAGAATGGGGAGGAAGGAAGAAATGATGGCCTCTCAGAGCCTGAGTCTTATTTTCTACAGCTAAATCTCTGTGAAACAGTAGATTCAAACGTGATTAAGGGCATTTAATAGTGACTCAGCTCTCAGACCAATGCTCACAGCGAGGGGGTCTGCAGCTTTGCCAATCTTCACGGTGGACAGGACTATAGAAGAGGCCACAGAATGACTGGTCAGATTTGGCACAGTAGAAACAGCTGTACTGGAGTTATGCTAACCAAACCCTCCTATTTGCAAACAGCAATTTCTCTATTTCTTACCTGCATCTCTTTCCCAACAGAATTCTTCACGTCCATCTTCCCAATGTCGTAACTCTGGCTACCAACAACAAGGGAAAGTTAACATTACATGTGATGACAGGGATAAACTCAGCCAGTCCCCTGATACATGCAACATTCCCATCCTTCCCCATCTCTGAAGCACTCAGAAACCTCATAAATCACACAAGCCAGTCTCAGGACTCCACCTTACAGGAGAACTGATTCTTTTATTCTGAATCCTCATTTTGAACACTGTCCTCAATCACTTCCTTCGACCTATTGCACCACATTCTCCACTATCTTCCATTTCGTTGGGCTCTGTCACTTCTAGCTAAAGGTGTCTGGAGGAGGTAACTGCTCTCACTCTCACCTGACAGATATTGCAGTCATACACAGGAGGTGTTTGTGACCCAGTCTCGAGATCACAGCAAATCAGTAGCACAAAAACAGGACCTGGAGGTCACAATTTCCCACTCATTACCTGAAAGTTGAAGGACAGCACAAAGGACCCCCCAGGGAAAACAGAGCAGTAATTCCACGAGAGATTTGATGTCAAATGGTGCAAATTAAGCACTGTTAAAAACAGGACAATTGTTTCCTAATCTCATGCAGCATCTCATCCCACTAGATGGAGCTAAATCTCTATATCCAGATAAATATCTGCTCTTGGTAAAGCCTTATTTCCTCCCCAAATTTTATCCCAGGATTCAGTGTTTAATTTTCCTCTAGAACAAAATAGAAAATAATCTCCAAAGCACCAGCTGTAATCAACTCCAAGCATTTCTAAAAGTATTCTGTGAATGCAAACATGACCATAAGCATCTTGAATTGGATGTGTTGGCATTTGTTTCCCTCCTGCGTACATAAAACAAAAAGAACAAGAAGAAATAAAAGCAATTCTCCTGCCCTTGGTATGAGGATACTTTTCCTGACAGCCTAAAGTTTTCTTCCTTAGCAATAACACAATACCTACTGGATGCTGCCCAAACCATCTCTACTGCTGCCCAACCACTCATCTTTCACCTTGACATTTGTGTCTTTCATCAGCCAGGCTTTGCTGTCAGTGAAGCAATTTTCCTCCCTGAGAAATTCAAATATTCCTTCAAAACAAATCTATTCGAAAACAGAAAAATTCTTTCACATTTCTCTGAAGTTTTCAAGTTCCATCACTACTGTGTGCAAATGGCCTCTTCATAAAAGCAATCTATTTGGAAGGAGCTTTAAGGAGAACAACTTCCACGTGGAAAGAAGGCTTTCATTTTAAAGGCATGAAAATCAATGTGAAAAACAGACATAAATGTTAGGCAGGGGAGTACAACAGGCACTAAGTGTTTGCTCAGCCAGTATGGTTCAGTGAAAATCCTGTGTTCCCTTATTTCCAATCAACCTTCTGCTTTCCCTCTCTCCCTCCTCTCCTTCACACAGATTTTTACCTGACAAAAGCAGATTTTTACATGACAAAAGCAACTTCGGTTGCCTTTTCACATTACCTGAGCCAAACGGAGCTCTGCTCATACTTCCTGCAGTCATAGGTTTCCACTCCGAAGTTGTAACAGAGGATTGCCAGGTAACGGGTCTGCAACAAAAGGCTGCTGCTGCTACAATGTTCTCATAGACACACCACCACATCTATGGCATTCAGTCTCACGTTCTTTAAAGATACCCCCTGGGATCACTTCTGACCTTATTTGATAGAGCAGTAGTGAACATGACTAAAATCATATTGTTCTGTGGGAAAGTGAAGTGATGTGAGCCAGTTTAGGATGTGCGAATCAGAATTCTTCACTGCATGAAGCTGAATGGTTCCACAAGAAGCCAAGCTGAAAGCTCTACAACCGCGCAAAGCATGCAAAATAAAACTTGAGAGGAAAAAATGGAATATTACAACTTCCTTTACAAAAGTGACAAACGAGCTTTAATTTTGCATCGTTAAATGAACACAACTCCACCTCCTGCATGATAGCCTTTTTTTCCAGCATGCACCTTTGCATTATAAAAGGATGATCTGCACCACCAATGAGAGGAGAAAAATGCGTTTGAATGCTTGGTTATTGGGAGCACTGCTGCTTTTTGCTTTATCAGTCAGGCCTGACAGTATCTGTTCATAACAACTTGTCTTTCAGCTGAAATGATTTGCAACTGTCACGTTTGCAGCTGTCCAAAGAGGAGACAGGAAAGCGTTTTCAATGCCAACAGACTGCTAATATTTGCATCCATTTCGCCTCCGTGGTAACTGTCTTTTCAAAGTACAAAACGTGCTCCTTGCGAGGGAATTCAAACCCTCAGCCAAGAACGAGAGCTGCAGAACAGCATCTTGCTTTAAACTGACTTATTTCTGATCTCACTGCAATCCAGAGACAAAAGCACAAATTCAGGCACCCCGCACCACACAAAGCGCTCCCCAAACCTGCCAGCTCTCTGAGCAGTGAGCGTTCCCATAGCTCCGCAGCTTCATTAACATGAAGATTAGCGCTGAGGATTGACTTGCATATCAAAAGCCCAGCAGCTCAGCTCCTCTCTGGGCCCACCTGTTTCCAGACAAAAGTTCACCCGTAGGAGCAAAGAAGCAACACACAAGATAAAGAGGCACAGCTGTTTCTGCAGAAGAGCAGTGCCAGATTCTATTTGGAAATTCTTTTGCCTGTCTCGATTTCTTGTCTTCACGCATTCTTTAGGAAAGGTTTATCATTTTCATACAGGGTGGTGAGGCACTGGCACAGGTTGCCCAAGGAGGCTGTGGATGCCCCATCCCTGCAGGCATTCAAGGCCAGGCTGGATGTGGCTCTGGGCAGCCTGGGCTGCTGGTTGGTGACCTGCACACAGCAGGGGGTTGGAACTGGAGGAGCATCGTGGTCCTTTGCAACCCAGGCCAGTCTGTAATTCTATGATCATTCTATTTCAAATGATGAACTCTGAGCAAATGGAAAACCTAAAAACTTCGAAGGAAAAAAAAGCCTGTCACTCTTCCACAAAACCTGCAATAAAAAAACCTCAAAGAAGCAAAAAAATACAGAAGACAGCGAGAGTTCTCAAAATATTTCTCAACATACAGCACGTGTCATTCTTTAATACAGGGGGAGGAAAACATTTGCCAACTTTGGCACGACAAAGGAGGTATGATTTCACTAACCTCTCTGGGCAGCCTCACCAACATGTCCCTGCAGCGCTGCACGCATTGCGTTGCTTTCTGAAAATCCCCCTGAGCAACTGCCTAGGAAAGCAGAACGTGCCAACAATCTGTAAGTTAACTACTTGCCTCTAAAATCTGCTACAAGGTTGGTGCTCTAATCTAAAAAGACTTGGATTGCAGGCCTTTTTTGCATTCAGTACAGCCGAGTTTGTGATTAGATACCTGTCCTTACAGTGCTACAATAACTCTGTGTGTTTTTATACACTGAAAGACATCCAGGAGTGCCCTGCAGCCCTCAGGTAGTGTGAAAGGCTCAGATCCAAGGCATGATTCATCCACATGCCAGATAACAGCAAATCTTGGACAGCTTAACAAGTGTTGAAACACCTCTCCAGTAATTTAAGGTCTCAATTAGAAGTTAAATGAAAAATTTTGGTCTGTTTAGGGAAGCTCCTCGTAATTTTGAAGACAGTAACCCCTTCTGCATTCTGAGACCAGTGCTGTTATCAGCAAATGGGAGCAGCTGATTTCTCTCCCATGTATACCCATATGTCCGTAACACTCTGTAGTATTGACAAAGTACTCAGAAACTTCAGTCAGGCAGCAAAAGTCAGGACAATGCCTCTCAAAACACAGAATTTCTGAATGATGTACTTTGAATTAATTTAATCTGCCCTGCTGATCCCCTACAAAACACTCAGCATATTTTCAAGCTTCTCTCACGTTCAGCCAGACTTCTTTCCTTAAATCATCAATCATAATTCCTACCTTGCTGCACAGTGACAGAGCTTGAGACTTGAAGGAAGGTTTCAAATGCCATGAACTCATTACTGCCAAACATTGCCATTTGATACCCATTCTCCCACTGTTTCAAAGCCTTTACATGTAAAAAGCAGCATGCATTGGGTCATGGAAGAGAGGGTATCCATGTATAGGAAGATTTCTATCCAATGTCATTGAACAGCAATACTTTGATTATATTGCTCATAAAAGTCAAGAAACTTGTAAGGTAGAGCAGACTGTGGACACATGGCCTATAATATCTGCTTGTCAGACATGAATCCTGGCTACCAACAGCACCTTCATGTTTTTCAACCAATTAAGTTGCAAATGTAGCACAGTCTGATGAGTGCTTTGGAATGACCAATGGTGCTGTATACATGCTACACAAATGCAGCTTTGGGGACCCAGGCTCTAAGGTAGTTCTACCTGGGCAAGCACAGGTCACCTTTGGAACTGACACATGATTCAGAAAGGCAGCTGTTGTATCAACAGCCAAATTACAGAGCAGCAAATCTGAACGAGAAGATATAAACAAGGCAGCAGAAACGACCGCGATAAATCAGGCAAATTAAAAACCATTAAATTATTGCAACACCAAACTCAAACATCACATCTGATATCTTACATCTAAGCAAAGAAAATGCATCCTTCAGCAAGCCTGCAGTGCCAGGCATTCGTACACCCAATTAGCAGGTCAGAGGTTCCCTCCGTACCCCCTAGGAACTTATAAAGTAAGCAGGGAGGAACACATACTGATTCAGCCTGATAAGAGAGCACTTTGAAGAGGTCCTTCTCCACATCAGCTCTGCACACATGAATATCTGCTTCACCATCGCCCTCCTTGCGTAATTTCGCAGACAGCTTTTCTATGCTCTGGAAAACAAAGCCGAAGCGTGACCCGTGCAAGTCACAGATAGGTGTGTTTATAAAGAACTAGAACCAGAGAAGGACTTACATTCATGGCAATCTCTAAGAATTCATCAGCAACATCAGCTTTGCCAATATCTATCCACCCTTTTCCAGTTTTCATCGACATCTGCAGGAGAAAATGATCAGTGCTTTGTGAAGGTCTGGTCACTGCCAGGGCAGTGATCCCTTAGATCCCTTCTTACTGATGTCTGTGTCATGTAGGAGAGGTATTCCAGCTCTTCAGTTTGTCACAAGTGTCTCACATACGAATGAACTCTGCTTGCAGCACAAGGCTCATGGTGCCCCACTACACAACACCGTAAGACACTGAAATAAATGAATGTGCTGCTCTTCTAACATTTTAACACATGACAAAGACGTGATGCTAACTGCACTGACTCAGCAAGGCACCCCTGTGATAACACAGGCCCACCTTCAGCATGCATCTTCTCTAGAATTACAGGCATAGCTCACTCACTTTCCAAGTAACTGCAATAGGTTTTAAGGTTTCCCACACTGCTCACCTGCCCTGAGCCTTACCAAAATCTGCCTCCGAATGGTTCCCTCCGGAGGATCACTGCCTTCACAAAGGTGCACCAGCCTGCAAGCAACAAATCTCACTGCAAGAAAGTAAGGCAGATATTTCTAAGTTCCTTTTTGTTGTTGAGAAAGTCAGGCCCTGCCACATCCTAAAGATGGTTTAAAATTATGAGAAAGAAACTTTTGGAAGCTTCGGAATTAAAATTTTAGTCAAGCTGCTTAAAATTGCTTTTCAGGCATCAAAAAGAAAACAAACCCACCCCAAGATACCAAGATATCTCCTCAAAATGTCTATTAAACACTTTAGAGAGAGTTTAAGTCAAAGACACAGTATTCAAAGACTTAATTACACTGCAGGTGCTCACAGTGTCTTGAGCACCTCAAACAGCCTTCAGCAAAATAGGGAAATCAAGTTTAATAATCTTTACGTTTTCAAAGCAAAAAGCACAAGTATTTTCTGGCCTTTTTTATACACTGAGGGTAGAAAACACACCACTTAATGTATTTAAAATAGCCTCTCCCTGGCCCTTCAGATATAAGATCTGAGAACATTATGTTCTACAACAATTACCACTTATTTTGTATAAACTTACCCTTTTCCCTTCACTTGACATCACTTACATGATGCAGATTATACTTAATTTTAACTGCTATCCCCTAAGAGAAAAATGTAGGCCAGATACAGCAGTCCTGCAGCTCCACATAAAGAACTGGTTGACAGCATAGAGTGAAAGCTCACTTTGCTTTCCCCCAGCCCTAAAGCAAACCCCCAGCTGCATACAGATGGTGTGTATAGGCTGCAGCTGCTAAGGCAGGGCAGTGAAAAAAAGGATTCAGATTTTTTCTGTACATAAATACAGGTAAGAGAATCACCTCAAAAAGAACAACTTCACGTTTTAGAAATTGACAGTCAAAGATTTACATCAGAGTTATGTCCACACACTCACAGGCCTTAAAAAATAGCATATTAAAATAGCATAAATAAAAGTCAATGCAGGTTTTCCTTTGGAAACATCACCTCTTTATTGATGCTCTGGCACAGAAGGAAGGAGTGATGCAAATACCAACGCCAATTCTGTGTCACAAAGAAGATCTCTGTTACACCATGGTGATCCTCCCCAAACTCGCTGTATAAGTCTAGCTGCTCAGTTTTCTTTGCCTGTACCCTATCTGCAAATATCCAAACCAACCCACAGCACCACGTATGCACCTGGCAGCAGGGAGCTTTTCCTTTTCACACTGCAGCACGAAAACACATTTAGAAAGGAAAAGAACGCATACATACATTTAGCCCTTTGCTCATCGCTGATGATAGAACCCGTGTGTTTGGTTACAGCCCAGTTCCAAAGGCTTATTGCACCCTCTTCAACCTGAGAAAGAGAATTCCATTCCATTCAATTTTGTCCTAGGATTGGATTGAATTGAGATTTACTCCTGACAAAGCTACTGTCTTTCATATTAGCCACAAGTACAGGTTTGGACTATTCCTTTCTACAGGCTGGGTACTCCAAGAGACTTGGAAGCAGTTGGCAGGGATCACACACTCTTTTCACAAGCACATTTTATTCTCTGTCTTCTAACAGGCTATCTCTCATCTTCTGAAAATTTGAGAGTGTCTCTGAGATGACAAAGGTAGGAAAGAACACGGCTGCAAATCAAATCATGACCTGAAACTAAAAAGAGCTAATTAATCATAAGATGGATAGCTGCAAGCACATATATGCCATGTCATCCATCAGTGCCTTCAGCTCCCATTTAAAGTTACACAAAACAGCAAATTCTGTTTGAGAAGTGGTGGACTTCAGAAACATTCAAATATGTTCCTAAACAAATCCCATTAATCTGTCATATTGCTGAAATAGCCTAACATATGTTTCTGTCAAGTCCTTTTCCAAGCCTAGCAAAACATGACCTGATTTACCCTTCCCATCTGGAATGAAGTTTTCTCACAAGCATTCATACATACAAAATTTGTGCAAGAGCACATCACCACATCCAAAACACAACTGATTCACTGGCAGCTTTCAGAATCCATTATGTACATTTTAAACAGACGTTGCAAAATTAGAAGGGAATGGAAAAGAGCTGTGAGAATTGGATCAGATTTGAACATGCATCTGTAGGACTTTAACTCTTAGGGCCGTATTCATAGAATTGTTGGAGGTGGAAGGGACCCTGAAAGGCCATCTGGTCCAACTCCCTGCACTGAGCAGGGACACCCACAGCTCCATCAGAGCCTCATCCAGCCTGACCTTGGGTGTCTGCAGGAACGGGGCACCACCACCTCTCTGGGCACCTTGTGCCACTGCCTCACAGCCCCTATTGTAAAGGACATCTCCTCCAACCTAAATCTCCCTTCTTTTAGTTTGAAACTATTTCCCCTCATCTTATATCACAACAGACCCTGCCACAGAGTCTGTCCCCTCCTTCCTTACAGCCCCTGTAGGTACTGACAGGCTGCTCTCAGCCCTTCCTGCAGCCTTCCCTTCTTCATGCTGCACAGCCCCAGCTCTCAGCTTGTCCTCACAGGGAAGCATTCCATCCCTGGCATCACTTTTGTGGCTCTCCTCTGGACACGCTCCAACAAGCCAATGATATTAAGTAGCTTAATTATTTTAAGTACCCACACAGAGAAACTTCTGATGTTATCAGACAAAGAACAAAAGCTAGAAACTTTCGTTAAAAGATGATGCAGCCTCGCATAAAGACAATAAGATCTGTTAAGAATGCATCCCAGAGGGCTGTGGATTTTTCATCAGTCATAGCTTATGGAAGACATGCCTACAAGCAGGCGGCTGGAAATACACCGGAATGTGACACACAGCACCCCATCCCGGACGTATCACAGCCTCATAGGGAGGGCTTGGCCCGGAATCAACGCGCCGAGTTCTCTCATTAAACACAATGCTTTGTATCGCATTCAGGCCGCTGAGTTAAAAGGTGAAAGCACCAAACTGAGAGCCCCAGACACGGGGAAGGAGAGGCGGTGCTCAGCGCCGTACCTCCGCCGCGCCGCCGTCCGCCTCGCCGAGGGCCCCCGCCGCCCGGAACAGCTCCTCAATGAGGGCCGCGATGCGAGGCGGGGCCTCCTCAACCAGCAGCTCGCGGAGCAGCTCTGGAAGACAAACCGGGAAGGGAGCAGTCAGGGGTGAGTCAGGGAGCGGCTACGCAGCCACAGCCCCCGGGCGGGGATGGAAAACGGAGGTTACCTCCCGCCGCGCCCAGCCGCCCGCCCACCATAGCCGACACCGTCCCTCAGCCCTGAGGAGACCGGCGATACGGCAGGGCGCATGCGCGACTCCCACGCCGCCGCGCTGCAGGCCGGGAGAGGAGTAACGCGCGGTGACTGGCTGCTCGGCTCGATCGCCCCTCCTTTCCGCCCCGCCTGGCCAATCAGACGGCGCGGCGGTTGGCCTGTCCGTTAGTCCGCTGGCCTGTGGGCGCCGCGCCGGTTCTGGAAGGATCCTGGGAGCACGGCCCTGCCGGGCGCGGGAGAGATGTCGGGGCTGCTTCACACCACGCTAAGCGGGCTCAACAGCGACTCCTACTGCGAGATCAGCCGTTACCGAGACCAGCACTTCCGGGTGCGCGCGGGGCGGGGGCGGCGGGGCACGAGGCGGCGGGGCCCGGCCGGTTCGGGGGCTGCAGACGGGGCGGGGCCGTGAGGGCACCGCTGGTTGTGGGCCCGGCGGGGTGTGAGCCCGCCCTGTGTTCGGCTTTGCCCTCAGGGGAGCAAAAAGCTGCAGGAGAAGTTCCTGAAGATCTCCTCCACGCTGTACGTGGGCAACCTGTCCTTCTACACCACCGAAGAGCAGATCCAGGAGCTGTTCTCCAAGTGCGGCGATGTCAAGAGGATCGTCATGGGGCTGGACAAGATCAAGAAAACACCCTGCGGCTTCTGCTTCGTGGAGTATCCTTTCTGATCCCTACTTGCAGTAAGCTCAGCTGTCAGAAGCCCTGAAAGGCATGAAACTCACAGGGCTTCCTTCCAGGCACGTTGCTGCCTGCATTCCCATCACCACCCAAATCGTACTGTGCTGCCATGGGTGAAGGTCCTGCGTGGATGCTGAGCCCTTGTGTGGCCCAAGCTAAGGGCACGTGTTTGTGTTCTCACCTTGGCTTCACACCTGCAGAACCAGCAGAGCGATCTGTGGCGCTGCTCCCAAGCGCAGGGAATGCGTTTGTGCACGCTGTGCTGTGAGCTGTCCCCGCAGAGCTCTCCTGGTGCCTCCTGCTCAAATTCAGTTGAGTTTAATATCGTATAAAAAAGCATCAGATTTCTTGCCCTTAGCGAGGTTCTAACAATTTGTTTTATCTACTTGTGAAATAAGCGATCCAAAGCTATTTCTTGTCTGTACAGGTAGCAACATTACAGTCAGAACCTGAGGAAGGAGAGGGAGCTGTTTTAAGCTTGGATTTTTGATCCCATAGAAAAGAGCAGGAAAAGTAGCAAAGGCTGGAAGGCAGGGAAGGCTCTTCTGCTTAAGTACAATGGTTTGTTATTGTTTCTTTTTTTCCCCCCACAGCCAACAAAACAGCAGGTTTAGCTCTCCTTACAGTGTGTTTCAGATATTACACGAGAGCAGATGCTGAACACGCAATGCGATTTATCAATGGCACGCGGCTCGACGACCGCATCGTTCGGACAGACTGGGATGCAGGATTCAAGGAGGGACGGCAGTATGGAAGAGGGAAGACTGGTGGGCAGGTAAAGGCAATAGCAGCTCAGACCTCGAATGCAATCCCCCTAGGGCAGTCCTGTTTTGCTTGTTTTGTCTCATGCAGAACAAAGCGCAGACGGTAAGGAGCCAGCAATGAATTTTAGGTGATTTTGGTAGCCAGTGCTACCTTGGTATTAAGATCTGGAAGTGTAACTATGGTTACAACTGGACAGGATCCCACAATTCCTGACAGTACAAGCAGGATTTTCCTTGTTCCAGGCTAGCGCTCTTTAAATGATGCAGACTTTGAATGGAAAGGGAGCGCAACTTCTAGATCAATCTCATGATCCATCAGTTTGCACTGTGAGAAGCTAGATTTCCCTTGCAGATTTCTGGAGGGCTGGGGAAGGGAGAAATGCTTTGGAGGCCAAGCATCTAGTAATTCAGAAGGTTGGAAGCTGGATGACAAAGCTAAATCAAAATATTTGGGGATCTCTGCTTCCCTTCTAAAAAGTCATCAGCCAGCAGATGTATCTTCATTTGTCACTTGCACCATTTGTCTGGTGCATTATTTGAAGGGATTTCAAGTTGAGCCAAACTACTTCTCACCTGAACTTCATTTCTCAACCTACTGAGCAAGGAAATGGTGATGACTGTGAAGCCTAGCATGGTGCTAACGCCTGTGTTACTGCCTTGCTCCAGGTGCGAGATGAATACCGGACAGACTACGATGTGGGAAGAGGCGGTTTTGGCAAGATTATACAGATGCAGAAGGCAAATCAACAGCCTGCAGTCTATTAATTGCCTCATGGGTGTTAGCTCATAGAGGGCTCTGCTCTTCTTGAGCTAGCCGTGTTCTCGCGTTTTGGATTGGGGTAGGGAGTGAGATCCAAGTTCCAGCCAAAGGTGACCCTCCTTAGACTGTGGATATACATGTGTTCATTCCCCCTTTCTTCTGGGTTAGAGAGGATGTTCTGTGCTGATACAGGGCAGCAAGGGAAACAAATGGACAACTGCAGGATACTGGTAAGAAGAAATGCAGCATGTCACACGCACCTCATGCTAGGATGCATTCTGCATTACAGCTAAGCAGTTGGCTTCTTCCGAGCCATGATTGCAGCTGTGGTTGCTCTCAGATAAAACTTTGTGAACAGTGCCATTGTTGGAGCCCTCTGGGTGCCCGGGCACTTTGTTGGGATGCACAGAACTTTCAGAGTTCTAATTTACAAGCTCATCTGCTTACAAAGCAGTATCACTATTTGTGTGAGAGAAGCTGAGCAAGGTCTTGCTGTCCACTTGGAGGTGCTTGCCTGTACATCTAGCCCTTGGGTTGGTCATGGCCTGCAGAGCCTTTCTCTTTATGATGCCCCAGTGCTGCCTGCTTTTTCAGATCCTCACTGTTTGGCATGATTTTGTTAAAAGTTTCTTTCAATTTTTTAAATAAACAGTGAGTCCTGTACCTGTTGCAATCTGTTCATCAAAACCTCTGGCTCCATGACAAGAGCTGGAGGGAACATTTCCTGATGGTATTTTAAAGTTGCTTTTACTTGCAAACACAAAATGGAGAGCATACTGAAGGAGGGCACAAGTCTTGCTGTATTTCTGTTGGCTTCCCTCTTACTACTGGCTTTTCCTCTTCTGCTTTGCAATAGCTGATGGCTGATATCAGAGGGCAACTGCTTATAAAGCGTACAGCTGCTCTGAATAAGAAATCCTTACATTTCATACCATCAGATTCCGGGAAAGCTTGTGATCTTGTCAATTGTTCCACAGTGTGAAACGTACATGAAGCAATACAAAAGTGTGATGTGCATTTCAGAGAAGAAGGAAGCAGAAACTCCCTTCCCTGTGTTCATGACAGACTTTCTTCCCCATTTAAGAGAAGCATGGCTGATACTCTTAAATTTTTCCTAGGTCCAAACAAGGGACCAGAGAAGATTAAAACCTCCACTGATCCGTCCCCCAAAACCTCCCAGCCAGGGTTAGTGATTTCATTGGACAAATTAAATTCTGACTAATTTGGTTTAGTATGATGTCAATAATAGTAGCTGCTCCTTGTCCAGTAGCATGTAATCACAATTGTCCATGGGCTGTCTCATCCAAGATAATATGTACTGTAATGTTGCACACCCATGTGTAGACCAGGCATTATCATTTAAATTACTTTAACTCTCACATTACTGAGGAGGATGGGATGGTAGCATTAATGTCCTGAAATGTCTCCTACTTGCTTGTTTTGCAAGTCAGGTTGCTGCATTCTGACAGCTGTCACAAGTCCTGAAGGAGCTGCATGTTTAGACCTCACCTGACTGAAGAAATGACAGTTGACAAGTCTGTGATACGAGCTGCCCCCTGAGATGCAGGGAAAAGGAGCAGGATGCTGAATTTAAAGGGAAAAATCTAAGCAGTTGTCTGCCCAGCCTGGCAAAGCAGCATCACATGAGGTCCTTTGGGGGGATATGGATTACACAGAAAAATTGCTTGGGCAAACAGCTAGCAGAAGATGTGAGAAAAACAGGGAAATCTGCTGTGAAACTCTTCTGGTAGCAACAGAATCTCATTTATATGAGGTAGGGAGACCAAGGCAAGCTCTGGGTTTGCCCCTGATATGGCCTGTTGGTCATGTAGTTCCTACGTGTGTGACAGAACATGCAGAAATCTGTTCAGTCGAGCAGCTGCGTGGGCTGTTCCATGATTGTGGCAGGCATGTCTGTCCCTGCTTCCCAAGACACTGCAATTTCTTCTCTGCACAGGTCTGCTTGTCCTGCTCATCTTTGCCTGGAGGCAGATACCTCCCTTCTCCAGCAGGTCCCAGACCAGTGTTGGCAAGCTGTGCACCGTTCCCCTTTCGGCATAACGTTTGCAAAGAGATTTGTGCTGACATTTATTCAAATACACGTATTTGCTTAAAAGAATCCATCTCAAATACTACAGCTGCTGTAAATGCCTTCCTTCTAAAGCCACCCATCCCACAGAGAATTAAAGAGAGATGAGAAGGTTTACGAGTAAGTAGGCAATCCCAGCTCTTAGCCTGGGCTGCAGCACGTAGGTACCTACATGGCACCACACTGCAGCAGTCAGAAGAGCCACCCTTGCCAGGGGTGTGATCAAAGACCAGCGCTGCCAGCATGCTGGAGCAGCCCCTCCTGCCCTGGCTGCACTCCTTGCTGGAGCACTGTGCCCAAAAACCTCAGGCTCCAGGGTTGCTTTTCAGGCATCTTTCATCAGGCACACAAAGGCGCCGTTAGAAGAAAAAGTCCTTTGTCCTCACAGAACTGGGGCAGCGCCGAGCAGGGCAGCACAGCCAGCAAACCGAGACACCTGAAGTGGCCCAAGGGAAACAGCGCAGCTGGGAACAGGCATGCAGTGACCGACTCTAAGAGCTGCTAGCAGTTAACCTGCTGCAGGTAGCAGCCCGGACCTGACTCTCTAGCAAAGAAGTCTGATGCTGAGTTCACCACAAGAGCTTACACGCTCTTCAGGCTTAGCTGAGTCTCTCTGCTGGATCCCGTGTGTGTTGCAGAGACCCTATCACTCCGGGACAGAATTAAGTTTAGCAGCAGAGCAGTTCTGGCAGGCAATGCTCCTCCTCACACTCATTCTCACTCACAACACCACACTCAGAGCCGTCTGCACTGGGGAGTGGAAGAG